ATTAGTGCAGTTTTCTCAAAAAACTCTGTTTCTACATTAAAAAAAAAAATGTTTTCAAAAAAATTTCAGGTGTTTTCGAAAAAATTAATTTTTTCACAAAAAGTCTGTTTCTGCATTAAAAAAAAATTTCGAAAAAAAATGTTTTTTTGACCTGCCACAAACAGACAGATAGACAAACGCATTTTAGTTTTTTTCATATGACCCTTCCTACAGTCAGGGGAACCAATACAGCATTGCTAGACCAAATACGAAATCGATAATATTATTCTATGTAGTAACAGCTATGTTTATCATACACTCTAATCAAGTTTATCAAAAATTATAATCCAATAGAATACTCAAATTTATTGTTAACACTCAGGAAGACTTGATGAATACTTGTTTGGTGTATATGTAAAAAAAGATCGAACACTGATTTAATTAGAATTAATTAGTATATATGTTCGTTAATATTCTCGAAACTATGCAATCTAAGAAAATAATTAACTTTAACTTTTTCATAACTATAAAATAGTTCTTCTAACCTTATATTATAGATGAATCGCGTCATATTTTAAACGAATTCGACTGGAAAATCTTAAAAAGTACTGTATTTATAACTAAAGCCATGCTGATTCAGCAAAAAAAAAAGACATTTTTTTTTACAATCATAAGACAACGCAGGTATTAATGAAGGAAGAAAACGAAAAATCATGTATCCATTGGTGAATAGCTGTCTTATCAACTTTGTCGATACTCCAAAATAAACTGATGTTCTTCATAGATCATTCAATAATATAGATTTGGAGGTTTTTCTTAGATATTAAGCGCTTAGATAAAAAATATTAGATGTCGAGAGATTATCGACCTTAAAAATAATGGACAACACTTCAATCAAAACTAATACTCAATTTCATATAGTTTTGATGAAGAAAAATGATTTCGAATAGAACCCATAGCCAGTCTCGTAAACATTAGTAAACGTTTTTATTCTGATAAAAAATGATCCACAATATCTTGCGTGTGCTACTCTACCTTATAGTTTGTCGTTTCTTTAGTAGTCGTATTATAGTAGAATACCATTATGTCATAAATAGAACTTATTCAAAGTATCTCATTCGTTTATAAGTATTTGCAAAACAACAGCATAAAATGCTATTGACGCCCGTTGATGAGAACGAAACTACAGTGGGCAATCTTTCAAAGTTAAGAATACAAAAAAATGCTTTTTTCAAGTTCGTACTTGATAATGGAGCCATAAATAGGTGCTGATCTTTCTTGCAAATAAAGTCAATGCGCACTCAAGTCAGATAAAGTTTTATTGCATATTTTAATGCTGCACCAATTTTGAAAGTAAAATGCAGTACCATGAGGAACGAAATTTCATGATATTGTTGAGATCGATATGACCGACACATATGCAATTATTTGATATGCATAATAGGCTACTCTGATCGGTGAAAAATGATCTGAACAAGGTATAGTATTTGCTTGAGACTAAAATTAGCTTTGATGTATCAAAAAAACTGAAAAATAGGCTTTTCGTCAGTCTCACCATTTCCGAAATTTGCTATTCGCGATTTTCACAGACTCCATCAACGGATTGAATGAGCAGTATCAATGGCTATATTGGGAAGCGACTAATCACTGTTAGCTCAATATATGAAGGGTTAGCTGACTATCAGATTACGAAAATGAACATGAACTTCATATTATAAGTGTTCTATTCACCCGATCAAGGATATAATGACAGTATTAATCATTGTGTCGCGACATAGACCATGATCTTGATGTGCAATACAAAATCAATACCTTGCAGGCATATTTTTTTTTATCTTGAGACACATAAGGAATCTAAGCTCAAGCAAGATAATCTCGTTTATACATAGATTAGATATGACAATCAAGATACGATTCTTCTGTATGAAAAGCCTTCAAAAACGAATAAAACTCCCTCTAGTGACGTAGCTAGAGATAAGCTGTTGGACACTTACCCACAGATTCAGAAGCCATTGCCCATCCGTGTTTTGAAATGATACAACCTGCCCGATGCCAAAAAATATTGATACGCATACATGTACAAAGACCCGAGTGTTATTAATTTAATGCATTGTATCTTGTTGTGAGCTAATGAAATGATCCAAAAAGATCAACCGGCATTTTTTTTTCTCAGTAAACCAATATTCATAGTGATAACTATGCAGTGGTTTTTTTTTTTGTTAAAACATTCGCTGTTCTATTAAAACTCGCGAGTAGTTCTATTTGTCATTATTTATGCTTTTTGATATAACAACAGTGAATGTTTGTGATAAGAACTACTTTTTTCGTAGACTCGAAAGTTTTCCTTTTCTTTCATACAACTTGAAAGAAAATGACACAACTTTTATATTATTAAATAAAAAAAATCTGGTGAATAGAATAATGCAAAACTTATTTAGTTATCTTAAAATTTTAATGAATAGTTAGCAGTAGTTTGAGAACAGTTGAGCTTCGGTGTACTAGGGACACTGTTTCTATTTCGAAAAGCAAATGAAAAC